ATTGTCTTTCATTTTTTGTAAAGCACTTTCAATTGCCTTGTGTTGAAAAGTGCTATATAAATAAACTTGCCTTGCCTTGCCTTGAAAGATATTTAAAGGAGGAACTTGAACTATCCACTTATTGGAGTTCGGAGCTGGTGGATGAGTTATTGGGAGATTTGCTTTTGCAAAAATACTCTGGTGACACAAACACACACACACACACACACACACACACACACACACACACACACACACACACACACACACACCCACACACACACACACACACACACACACACACACACACACACACACACACACACACACACACACACTCACACACACACAAATACGTTTTTATTCGATTTTGGCCCCTCATATTCCCAGAGAAAGATCAGTCATTATCGTTCATCTTTTCCACACAGCAGAGTGCTTCCTCTGTGGCCACACTGAGAGAAATGTATTTTAAATATTGTGTATTACAGGACATTGTTTCAGTTAATGAAAGACGGACTACTCTAGCTTGGGAATGCTTCTATGATAACAGGAAAAGTGTTTGAAAGTCAATGGCGTTCTCTCTTCATGTTGAGAGGCTGTTCAGCTCTGCAGGGACGAGAAACTACAGCGAGGTCCACTGGAGCATTTTCTGTTAGCAGTAAGTAACCAAAGGCTTGGAGAAATAAATACATTATGTATCCACACACACACACACACACACACACACACACACACACACACACACACACACACACACACACACACACACACACACACACACACACACACACACACACACACACACACACTACACAGTGGACCAGCCAAGTTTGATCGTAAAACATTTTGTAACTTAAAGAACACTTGGAGAGCCAAGATCTCTGCCAAGGCTGTTTCCGTAACTGAAAAATGATCCGGAACATAGTGACATCACTATGGGACACTTGTGCTCCTATTGGCTAGCGCTCCATCACATTATAGGAGATAAGGGGCGGGACATCTCTCAGTGGTTGACCAATCACAACAGAGCTGACCAGCTAACCAATCAGAGCAGACTGAGCTCTGGTTTCAGACAGAGGGTGAAAAGAGGTGCTGCAGCACAGACAGTATGAGAAAAATAAAGAGCTTTTTGAACATTAAAGCATGGAGACATGTAGAGACACTACATACTGATATCCACCTGAACATCAGCAGGAGAGGACTCTTTAAAGTAGAGACACTACATACTGATATACTCCTGAACATCAGCAGGAGAGGACTCTTTAAAGTAGAGACACTACATACTGATATACACCTGAACATCAGCAGGAGAGGACTCTTTAAAGTAGAGACACTACATACTGATATACACCTGAACATCAGCAGGAGAGGACTCTTTAAAGTAGAGACACTACATACTGATATACACCTGAACATCAGCAGGAGAGGACTCTTTAAAGTAGAGACACTACATACTGATATACACCTGAACATCAGCAGGAGAGGACTCTTTAAAGTAGAGACACTACATACTGATATACACCTGAACATCAGCAGGAGAGGACTCTTTAAAGTAGAGACACTACATACTGATATACACCTGAACATCAGCAGGAGAGGACTCTTTAAAGTAGAGACACTACATACTGATATACACCTGAACATCAGCAGGAGAGGACTCTTTAAAGTAGAGACACTACATACTGATATACACCTGAACATCAGCAGGAGAGGACTCTTTAAAGTAGAGACACTACACACTGATATACACCTAAACATCAGCAGGAGAGGACTCTTTAAAGTAGAGACACTACACACTGATATACACCTGAACATCAGCAGGAGAGGACTCTTTAAAGTAGAGACACTACATACTGATATACACCTGAACATCAGCTGGAGAGGACTCTTTAAAGTAGAGACACTACATACTGATATACACCTGAACATCAGCAGGAGAGAACTCTTTAAAGTAGAGACACTACATACTGATATACACCTGAACATCAGCAGGAGAGGACTCTTTAAAGTAGAGACACTACATACTGATATACACCTGAACATCAGCAGGAGAGGACTCTTTAAAGTAGAGACACTACATACTGATATACACCTGAACATTAGTATAATATGTCCACTTTAATACAAATCGACATAAAGTATATCAAGAAAGTAATCTAAACTTGATTTTCTTCTGAGTTTTTGTGTCGAATGTGTCTTCTGATTATGTCAAAACTGTTGAAACAAGTTGTGCAAAGTTCCCAGTATGTATTTTTTTCCTATTGCACTTTCAACTCCAGCCTTTCTCTTTCTTTCAGTTTAAAGTTGTCCCACTTATTTTCTCTCTGCCTGTTCCCCTGCTAAAGACTTCAGTTTTAACCACCACTCTCTCTCACTTCACGTCAGTAGCGCTGCTCAGAAGCTCCGTGCTGATCTCTAATTGAAATTGAAACCTGCTCTCGGAGCCTGCCCCTCAGCGACAAACAGCTGATTGAAAGAGCTGGATTTAACAGTGTGTGAGACAGAGAGGAGATAATGTGCTCAAAAAATAGCTGGCAGGGAAAAGGAAGCTATCCGAAGCCTAAAAAGTGGAGTATGTGTTGAAGTTATTAAGACCGAGAGTTTATAATTCACAGCAGAGAAGAACAGTCAAATGAACCATGTGACATCTCATTTGTGTCATTAGCGTTCTTTGCCCACACAAGAATAATATTATGTTATATCTGCTTATTATATAAGATGAATGGTTTGTAATCAGTATCTGTATTCTGATATAGTGGATTATCGTGTATATTTCTTAGACTAAACATACTTTCTTAACCTTTTACCTCGCTCTATGGGATGAGGGTTACATATCTCCATGAAACTCTCTTCTTTGATTGCCTACATGTTGTATCACACGCTAAACGAAATGTTATGTTTAGATGTGAGAATAATCTTATTTAATGTGGGCTAATTTGCATATATTGCTGTCCTGCTTTGTACAACTGAATTTCCCCTCTGGGATTAATAAAGGTTCATCTTATCTTATCTTATATTTACAGAAAATAAATAAGGCACAACTTGAGATGTAGCACACAATTCTGTCTTTTGAACTTGTGTCTTTTCACGTGTACTGTGTACTTATAATTGTATATTGCAATGTCATCTGTCCTATTAGAGTCCAATTAGCAATGTGGAGCTTTTCCCTTCTCTCTCCTCTTTTCTATATTTTGCCAAGACGAAAAATTAGCTGACCTTTAGCTACAGGAAGACTAATGAGTGGGTTAAGGATATAAGGAGTAAGAAAAACGCTAACAAAACAAGGTAAAAAAAAACATATGAATTCCTTCTAATTAGTTCATCCTAAGGCAAGGCAAGGCAAGGCGAGGCAAGGCGAGGCAAGGCGAGGCAAGGCGAGGCAAGGCGAGGCGAGGCGAGGCGAGGCAAGGCGAGGCAACGCGAGGCAAGGCGAGGCGAGGCAAGGCGAGGCGAGGCAAGGCGAGGCAAGGCGAGGCAAGGCAAGGCAAGGCAAGGAAAGTTTATATAGCACTTTTCAACACCAGGCAATTCAAAGTGCTTTACAAAAAATGAAAGAGATTAAGAAAATGGCATTTAAAATCAGTCATTAAAAAGAAAAGCTAATAAAATAAACATTAAAAGAAAAAATACATGGATCAAAGTTACAGTGATAAAAGTTACAGTGCAGTCTTAAGATATGAATAGTTCAATTAAAAGCAGCGACAAAAAGAAAAGTCTTCAGCCTGGATTTAAAAGTAGTCAGAGTTGCAGCGGACCTGCAGGTTTCTGGGAGTTTGTTCCAGATATTTGGAGCATAATAACTGAACGCTGCTTCTCCATGTTTAGTTCTGACTCTGGGGACTAAGAGAATATACTGCACACAAGAACAGGTTAATGATCCCTGGCTGCACAACGGGGGGACGGGGGGACGGGGGGACGGGGGGACGGGGGGACGGGGGGACGGGGGGACGGGGGCAGTGACATGTCTATATGGACAATCCATAACAGAGAAGAAAAGCAGTTGCTTTAAAAGCCTCTCATCTACTTAAAGGAAAACTCCTTTACTCAATCACTAGTAAGTAGAGAGAAGACAAAGTGTACATGTAAAAGACAGGAGGCATCCATAAATCATTGGAAAACTACGAAAAAGTGTAATAAAATAACAGGAAGAGATACATCAATGTACCACAAGGAAACTAAAAGTGCCTTCAGGAACATCATGAGATGAATATAGTAATAAAAAAACATTATGCAAAGCATTGATTGATGGTTATTAGCCCATACCCTCTAAAGTAAACCAATGGGACATTGCAGGAAAATGTAAGTCTCATATAAGTATGTTACATAGGGGAACACTGAGGAAATATACTACTTATATTATTAAACAATATATAATGGTTCTAATTTATCCTGGCTTGAATATGTGTGGCTTTATTCAATCTAAAACAAGCAGTATTATAGTAAATAAAGAAATGTATCCAGTGTAAATGATAGGAAAAACGTACAGTTGGCTACCTCCATTGAAACAGTGTAATAAAATAACATGGTGAGATCCATTAGGAAACTCAGAGTCCATTGCGGAACATAATTGAATTATTATTATTATTATTATAAATAAATAAATGTATGAGGAAAGCATTAATTGAGCACCATTAGCCTCTGCAGCCGCTTTACTACCCTCTATAGTGCACTAATGGAATATTACAGGAAATAAGTTTGTCACATCAACTGAGAAATTACACTGCTGCTAATATAATAAAGAGTTATGTTTAATATGTTATTGCTTAGTCCTGGCTTAAAGTGTTAGACAATATGTGTGGCTCTTTTCACGCCGTCTACTCTCTATAGTAAACTAATAGGATATTACAGGGAATACGTTTGTCACATAGGGAATACAATCTGCTATAATAACAAACGCTTGTGTTCAATGTTATTATTATTATTCCAATGTGTCCTGGGTTAACGCATTAGACAATATGCATGGCTTTATTCAGGCTAAAACAAGCAGGAACGCGATTAAAAAAAACGTCAATCCTAGTTACCCAGTTCGCTGCCAGGCTCGTGTCATTCTGCTTCAGTTTCAGTCTCGCGCCTTCGCAGCCTTCAACCTGCAGCATGCCTCCAACTTTTCCACGCAAATGTTTTGGGACATTGTTATAGCAAAAAAGCTGGATTTACGGAGCTTTTTAAAAGAGTCCTTAAAGTCGCTCTTCACGCGGTTAAAATATCAGCAAGAAGAAGAAGAAGAAGGCTTTGATCCACAAGAGAATCCAAACAGGGAGACATGTTTCTCCACATCCTCACTCCGCAGACTGCTGTCCATGAGAGGCGACGTGGCAGATGTAGCTGGGCAGTGTGTGTGTGTGTGTGTGTGTGTGTGTGTGTGTGTGTGTGTGTGTGTGTGTGTGTGTGTGTGTGTGTGTGTGTGTGTGTGTGTGTGTGTGTGTGTGTGTGTGTGTGTGGCGTGTGTGTGTGTGTGTGTGTGTGTGTGTGTGTGTGTGTGTGTGTGTGTGTGTGTGTGTGTGTGTCAGAGCAGGTTCCAGCTGGATGATGGTCACACACACCGCTCTCTCTCTTCAGGTGAGTCCGGAGACAGTGCGCTCTCCTCGGTGCGTCTCGCTCTGTCAAACTGCGTGTCTGAAACCGAGACTAGCGTCAGGGGGAGTGTGTGTGTGTGTGTGTGTGTGTGTGTGTGTGTGTGTGTGTGTGTGTGTGTGTGTGTGTGTGTGTGTGTGTGTGTGTGTGTGTGTGTGTGTGTGCGTGTGTGTGTGTGTGTGTGTGTGTGTGTGTGTGTGTGTGTGTGTGTGTGTGTGTGTGTGTGTGTGTGTGTCATCTGAGTGCAGTCGACATATACTGTAGGCTATCACGTATTGATGTATTTCGTCTTTTGCACTTATTGTATTTTATATTTGCATGTTGGAATTATGTAATAAGTATCACAATGTAAAAAAAGTATCCGGATCCATTACTTGCCTCGATATCAAAGGCAATGCAAATAGTGACAAGACATATCAATAAGAAGGCTTTAACTTGAGTTGCACTGACCCTATCAGCACAAAACCAAACCAGGCTATGAAGGATGTACAAACAAATCGTTCAGTAAGCGTTTTCAGAATATAGAAATAAATGAATCTAGAAAGTCAAGAGTATGAGCAAATTGCTTTGTCAAATTGCAAAGTAATACATGTCAATATTACACTTATCCAGTTGATTATTGTGTTACAAGGTTTTTGAAAATGTATGCAAATAAGATGCACATTTGTTGTGTATTTAGGAGAACTCTACAGCTACAAAAAGTGTTGAATGTGATTTTGTTCTTTCCTCTAGTCTGACAGAATGTTATAATTGGATTGTATTTTATCTTCACCAAAGAGACAAAGACAGTGTTCAAGATTTCAACATGTGTAGATCAGTATAGAGTAATATCACACAATGATTGGTATTTATTTATCTGTGTTGCCCATGGTTCATTAATTCAATATTGGGAAACCCCAATTTCTCCAAAGACACCAGTTATTTCCAAACAGGAAAAACAACTTTAGGATTAATCTAATACTTTGGGACATGCAGAGTGTAAATAATGTTGATATTGTGGCTTTGTGTCCCTGCAGCTGAAAGCCCGTCTCTCTGACTCTTTAATTGCAGCCGGCTCTGTCAACACGACGTCAGCTGACCCGAGCGAGAGACAGGAGAGAGGCAATAATTGCGGGAGTCTGATTGAAGCCAAAGTAAACAGTGGTGATGGCACTACAGATGTCCATTTGCAGGATATCTAAACGGTGTGTGGTGACATCGAAATGATTCAGGCCAGATTTTAAAAGGAACATTTTTCAAAAAAGAACGAAGGACACATTGTTTTAAGTGACAGTGTGTTGCTTGTACAAAATAACCTGTCAACCACATGGAGAACCGTTAATCCTGCTGAAGAGTCCTTGAGCAAAACACTACACTGTCAGGTCTGTGCTGCTTGTCTTCTGACCTTTTTTCCATATGGGGGAAAACTTTATTAACAGCTTCTTTTAGATAAAAAAAACAGTAAAGAAGAAAACTCAATGACTAATAAAGTAAAATGTTCCACTTTAAATCCAGCAAACTCCCAGCCTGACATCTATTGAACAAATGTACTGTAATGAGTATTTAAATATAAATAAGTAAACTGCATTCTCAATAAAATGTCAATGGAAATATTTTCTCTCCTATTATAGCAGCAGTTTTACACATGTGGTTAATGTCAATTGAAACAAATATATGGTAATGTTTAGGCAACGAAACTACAAAGTTAAGCTTTGTTTAGAATCTCGGTATTAGCTTAAAATAATCAACTTTATTGATATCCAAAGTTTGTTAAAGGGGACCTGTCATGCGAAATGCACTTTGTGATGTCTTCTCTACATAACTATGTGTCCCCGGTGTGTCGGGGAATTCACGCAGCGTCAGAAAATAAAACCCTCTCTCTTTTCCTCCGTACCCAAATCTCTAAAAACGGGGGAACAACGGAGCTGATCCAGATTTGTGTCCGATATGACGTAATATCTGAAATGTGGACCCACGGCCCAATCAGAAACGTTGCTATCAGAAACAATGCCCGACTGTTTTGGACGTAATATGGTCGGTGTTTACATTAGCATCGCTAACACTCAGAGCTAACCTGTACTGGAGAGCATGTGTGTGAAGAAGCAGGAAGTAAAAAGGAACTCACCTTGTGGTATAACCGGCAAGAGAGAAAGCCTTTGAGCTCCAAACTGTTTCAGAGAGAATCCTTGATAATCCATGATATGGCGTTTCATCACGGCAGTATTTAGTTTAGACAGTAGCTGCCGGGTCCCGCATGAGCTCAGACCCCTCCTCTTTTATTTTATTGTATCAATTTATTTAAAAAAAAAAAGCTTTATACCCCAGATCAGCACTTTTGAAACAGGAAGTGAAATAGAGGGACATGAGGCATGGCTAGAATGATCTGTTTGGTATTTTGAGCAAAACACTTCATAGACATGTTTTTTATATATTTGTATATATCTGAGACCTATGCTATTGCCTAAAAATAGCACGATAGGTGACCTTTAACTCAACATATTGTACACTGATGGTCATACCAACCATACCAACCAACATGGGCTTAATTTAAATGAGCAAATATGTGTTTAAGTAGTTCAACTATACATACATAAGTGTAACAATGTGTTATTTAAGCAATAGCTCACGACAGGCTGGTATATGGTCATTATATCACAGCTAAGGGGCGTGGTTCGGCCCGACGCCAATAATTGCAATTGTTATTATTACACTGCACAGTAGAATATTCGATTCTAATTGGTCAATTCGGACATTCCAAAGGTTGCTAATTCTTAATAACAGACCGTTGCTAAGGAGAAAATGTATTTGGAAGTGTTATTGGCTGGATAATGACGAATAACACATTGAAAGCAATAGGAATACATTTAAATACATTCAAATACAACATAAATGACTTAAAATGCAAGGTATAAAATAAGTAATCACACCACTTTTGATTGTTCAGTTTAGTGTATGTGGATTTCTTTTTTGTGGACTTTTCTTTTACACTTAGTCTTGACCTTGAATGCATCTAAGAAGAAACATGTTGAATCATTGTATCTTTATTTAACCAGATAAAAAGATAAAATCTCATTTCCAATGCTGACCTGGCCAAGAAGGCAGCAACGTTACACATCACATCACATGTCACTTGTTAGACGCTTTTATCCTAAGCGACTCACATACTCAATACTGTGGGCAATCCCCACAGGAGCACTTTGGGGTGAAGTGTCTCAGGGACACAACGACATGCTGACTGCAGTGGGGTTTGAACCTGTGACCCTCTGATTCTAACATCAATGCACGACGCACTGCGCCACACGCCCCCACCAACACATAACACAGACATATAAAATACAGAGTACACAACTAAGAAAACAAAAGACGAAAAAGCAGTCACTACATTGTGCACATTTGGGACAGTACATTTAAAAGACACCAGAGCCTGTTTTAGATATTGTAACTACGCAAGGAATAACACTTGAAGTGGTTACCTGTTACAAATACCTGGGTATCTGGCTTGATGATTGTCTCACTTTTAAACTTCATGTCAATAACCTGCTTAGAAAGCTGAGGGTTAGGCTAGGTTTCTTCTACAGGAACAAGTCCTGTTTCTCGCTTGAGGCCAGGAAAAGGCTCTGTGACCTTTTGACCTGTGCTGGACTATGGTGATTTGATCTATATGAATGCACCTGCCAATTGCCTGGTCAAGTTAGATGCTGCGTATCACAGCGCACTGAGATTTGTGACAAACTGTAAAGCATTAACCCCTCACTGTACCCTGTATACAAGGGCTGGTTTGCCTTCACTAACTGTACGGAGGCTCAGTCACTGGTACATTTTCATCTACAAAGCCATGTTAGGGAAACTTCCATCCTACATCTGCTCCCTGATCTCACGGAGAATTGTAAGTGGCTACTGCCTGAGATCGCATGCTGTAGTTTTATTAAATATGCCAACTGCTAGGACTGTCTTAGGGACGAAAGCTTTTAGATGCGCAGCTCCTCTGTCTTGGAATAGTCTGCAATTGAAATGGAAACTGAACAATCTGGTGCCACTAAATGTTTTTAAAGCTCGGTTGGATGCTACTCAATCGGAAGCTGTTGGTACCTGCTCATGTGGATAGTTATTGTAAATTGTAACCCCTGTAATGATGCTGTATGATGTCCTTTTTGTTGTTCTGTTGTTTTATGTTTTTATGTTTCATGTGGAACCTACTTGAGCAGGTCTCCCTTGAAAAAGAGATCATTGATCTCAAGAGATACACCTGGGTAAATAAAGGCTTGAAATGAAATGAGTAAGAAAGGTACACTACTTATTACTGCAAGAGCAGCTGGTGGTAAGGACCTCAGACAACTTCAATTTAAAACCGGCTATCGGGACAAGTGCCGTCAGTTTGAGGCGTGATTGAAGGTCATTCCAAGACCAAGGACCAGAATGAAAAAGACTCCTTTTTCCAGCCTCAGTCCGCACGGCAGGAACCTGGACCCGTATCCAGGCACTGGGTCTGAGGCTGTAAGAGTCACAAACTGGAGCAAATCTGGCACATATGTGGAAGCTTTCCTAAAATGGCTTTATACATTAATAAAAACCAATGCTGCATCCTACGCATACTAAGTGAGGACCATCCAGTTAGGCTATACAGTGTGCATGATGAGTCCTATAGGGTGCATTTGATATATAACGCAGTGCAGCGTGGTAGAGTGGATCAAGTTTGGCCAAAACAGTGGGACAGGCAAATCTATAGATGGTATCACCGCAGTCCAGCTGGGACAGGAATAAGCCAGAGAGCAACCTTTTACGGGATGAAGCTGAAAAACAAAATGTAAGTCTGAAAAGGAAGCCAAGAGTGAATTTCAATTT